AAAGAGTGAAATCAAACAATGTGAAAACTTAGATATCGTTCGGATTAAAACCGTACTCTTGGGATCACTTTAGGGTTACCAGTCCAACGGTACCTTCCCCTAGTCTTGGGATCACTTTAGGGATTATCAACCCAAGGGTACCTTCCCCTATCCTTGGGATCACTTTAGGGATTATCACCCAATGGTACCTTTCCCTATTCTTGATTGATATCCCAAGTCCCAAAATCAACAAGTTGTGCAAGTCAAGATTGTATCAAAATACTAGAAACACATTAACCACGTCTCATGCACAACCAAGATTTTGAAACATACAAGTTATGCCCTAAGTTCGCATAAATATGATATGATGAATGTCGAATTTTCAGTGTGCGATTCGTTACACGCTATGCATGAAGGATATTTAATGCGAAGTGTGTAAATCATTATACAAGGCAAGTCCAATGTCAAGTTACAAGTTCATTCTAAGCAAGATACAACCATGTGAATTAAGTTCTATACAAAGGAATTAATTAAATATAAGTTTCAAAACTTATCCGATTATTCTCGATTTGATACAACGTGAATGAACTTGTCTAGAAAATCATGAATACAATGTTAGAAACTGAATCAAGACCAATGAACCAAGAAATGGATATTAATTACTTCATTTAATTAAAATCTCTAGGTTTTGAAATTCATCTAAATGATCTCAAATTAATATATGTTATATAACATGCCAAAACTTGATTTAAAAACACGATACAAGTGAATTCCATGCAAGAGAAGACCACGAGTATTAAACTTTAATACTAGAAAATAAATAAATGAAAGGTTTTAAAACCGAATTAAATATTCTAGATTTAATATATGTGAAACCATATAGCATGCATATCAAGAATGTCAAGTTGGAATTTCAATGGGGTGAATAGTACACCGGGAGTAAATTAATTAATTAAATTAATTAATAAATACTAGATTTCAAAACAACTCCGATTTCTCTCAATTTAATCTATGTTGAGGAGTATACTAGGGCTTAATATAATATGCTAACACATATTGATTTCAAGCTAGTTAAGGCCATGTGAATTAATCTTTCACTTAAGATAAATATTAAATAAAAACTTTAATACTTATTCAATTGCTCTAAATTTAATGCACGATAGTGAGCATATCAAGGGGTAATATAATACCATGCTACATGTTTAAACCAAGTCATTAGTAACTAGGAAAATCAGATCCAGTAGAAGAAAAATAAATAATAAAAATCTCTAAATTTTATATTTAAGCATGGAAACAAGTAGTATAAGCATCAATATCATGCTATATAACAAGAATTAAACCTAGAACATCCCCTACCTCAATTTGAGATGAAAATCTCAAAGGCCCACCAAAATAAAAGTGTTCCGAATCCGACAATACCGAGAGGTTTTGTCGGGGACAATACCGTGAACAAGAATCTGCAAGAAGCCCCATGAAAATCCAAACTTGACTCCAAACCCGAACTCAAAATTTGGTCAGAAACGGGTTCTAATAAGGGTATAAGATGCGCGGCGTTAAAAGAAGCATTAATCGTTAAGGCCGAAGAGTTTTCACTCAAGGGAAGTGGCGGGAAAATGAAGAACAAAGGTGGCAGCCCCTTGGCAGCCATGGCTGCCGGTCAAGAGAGAAGAGAGAGAGAGAGAAAAATCTGATATTTTCTCTTAAGTGACCCTATTTATAAAAAATCTTAAAAAGTGCCCTGAAAGGGCCCCGCTGGGTCTGGAAAAGTGGATTTTAAGCAGACGCGCTCAAACGGGAAAAATCCATGAACAAAAAAGATTCCAAATGAGAAAATATGAATAACGGAAGAAACAACGTCAAAAACTGAGTCCTGAGTAGAGAGATATGCCCCAAACAAGTTCGGCGCTAACTAGGTCTAGAAATTCTGAAACTAGAGAAAAATGACCAGAACGGAATTCTATGAGTACACGACTCGACGAAATGTGAAAATGAATCCCGTACAAGGATCCAGGCTCCAGACGAGGTATTTTGCAATAACTTTCGTTAATTGCACAATGGCCCCTACAAAAAGGGTTAACTACAAAACTGCCCCTGAAAGAAAATATCTTCCAAAAGATATTTTCTTAGATACCCCTGAAATAAAATATCTTCAAAAGATATTTATGAAAAACACTCCAATAAAATAAAAGAATTCTAAAGAATTGTGCATCTATGCCCCTATGGACACCGAGAGTAACCAGAGTACTTTCTTGAAAAAGTGAATATACGTATTTCGTGAAAACCACGCAAGATCAAAATATGTGAAATCAAAAACTAATTCTGAGCATGAAAAGTGAGGTTATGCCAAAAACTGACAAACGGGGAAAAGACAGAATAGGGAAAAGGATGAAATAGTGCATAGTGTCGAAAAACAAAAAATGTAGAAATGACTATTCCTCAAAGGAAGTTGTCAATTCATGGAAAAGAGTCTCAGAACCCATTCATGAGCACTCGAGATGACACTAAACAACGAGAAACTGAGCTCAACGAAGGAAATTAAACGAAAAAAATTCATTCATAAAATTTCAGAAAAACGAAAAGGAAGGGAATTTTCTGGATCGTTACAAAAACCATAAAAAGTGTACACCTTTCATTTTGTGGTTGTCTCGAAATAAGTGTTATAGTTCAAAATTCAATGAACTATATTTTTAATATCCTAATTTATCCTCTTGTCTTGAAATAAGTGTCAAGTAAAAAAATGTCAAGAAATTTTAAAGGGACATATTAAGAAATTCATTCTATACCACTATAATAAAAAATGTAAATAAATTAAGAATTCATATTATACCACTATAATAACAGAATTGCTAAAAGCATCTTTAGCAGCCTGTTAAAATTCTCTTTTGTGTAAAATATACATTGACACGTATAATGTGTAAAATTGTTGTGTATTTTATATAATCTTTTTACACAACCACATCAACGTATTTCTTTTCTCCTTCTTTTTCTCATTTCATTAATGAATCAACCCTATATTAAGTAGATTTTATAAAAATTATGTAAAGTCTAGACATGATACGGGTTGGTTATTATTGGGGAATATATTTTTACACAAAAGGTATAAAATAACCACTGGAGCTAAAAATAAATAATACAAAATTTTTGTGTAAATTTATTTTGACACATCTATACAACGGTTGGAGATGCTCACCCTAAAATATTTGATTGGTAATGCATGGCAAATATAAGAAGATGGGATCCACCAATTTATTAATAACTAATTAGATATAATAGACTTAGCCAATCTGTAATTAATCAGTGTAAGTATTCTTAGCACTTAATTTTGAATAAGGTTAAAGTAATAAAGTTGAAGGTTTTATGTGTAATACGTTCAAATTTGAAAGAAAATTAGTGAAGGACTCTATCCGTTCTAAAATAGTTGGGTACTTTGGAAACTATGACTCACATAGTTAATACCCAACTATTTTGGAACAAATAGAATATAATTTATTTAAAAATTTAAGAGTAATTTGCACTTACACCCCCTCAAGTCTACAATAAGGACAGGTAGATACAAATTAGGGAGAGTTTGATCCAATTGCCTGCTCAAGTTTGCAAACCTAAACAACAACACATCAACCATGACGAGAGTACCTAATTACCTTTTAACTTATGAATGGACCCATTTAAATTATTAAAATATAATATTAACTTTTATAGGTCCTTTTATTTGACCAAAATGACCCTTAGAACAAAGAAAAAAAGAAAAAAAAAAAAACTCCACCACTATGGCCGCCAATGCCATATGCATACAGACCGGACCCAGAAAATTTTAATTGGTGGGGCCAAACTAGAAATGTAAAATTAAAATTTTAAAATAACATCAAATCATTGTAAGAATTTTTTTTTGGCAAGTTTAATATATATTGTTAAAATGTGTCTATAAATAATATGTAATAAAATTGAAGAAAAAAGTTGTCGATTGAATCATTGTTGTTGTTAAGTGAATATTTTATTTTATTTTATTTATTTATTTATTTTTTTCATAACTATTAGTATTTATGATTTAGTACTATAAATAGAATATTATAAAAAATTTGAGGGGGCCCACTTTAATTTTTATGTAAAACATTACCATAAATAATTTTAATTTAATACTATAATAAGGTTTTACAAAAAAATTGTGAAGGCCACGGTGGAGTTTGTTTTGTATTTTTTTTTCTTTTCTTTTTTTGTCAAGGATCATTTTGGTCAAATCAAATGACTTATAAAATGTTAATATTGTACTTTTATGATTTAATTGGGTCAATTCAGAAGTCAAGCGGTAATTAATTATTATGATTAGGGGTGGTGTTATTCAAGTTCATAAATTTGAAGAAGCAATTGAATTACAGTCTCTCTAAAATGTTTCTCTCTAAATTATATTTACTTGTCTTTATTGTAAACATGAGAAGTGTAAGTGCAAATTATCCAAATTTTAATATTGATATCAAATGGTTAAAGATCTAATTTAAATGCAAAACAACGTATTGATCAGTTTATCACCGTCACAATTACATTGATCAAATCCGAAACCAATAAATTCCCATTACTTTATTGAGGAATGAATGCCTTTGACCCATCAGACAACTTCTATTTATTCAAATCGTACGACCAGATTACCATAAAAGTGCAACATCTACATCTGTCACGGGTCCACACCGTCAATCCTAAGATCCGCACCACTTTTTTACATACGCGACATACAACTTAGAATCTCCTTCATACCAGCTATGCGATATTTTGGGGGGCATTTCCGTCATTTCACTCACCCCCAAATATCTGCAGTCCGCACAGAAATTGAAGAAAACGCCCCCATTCGCTGCCGCTACCTGTTCGACGGTGGCCCCGCCACGTCATGGTCGAATCCCTGACCTCCACGTCTCTATCCCTTCTAGCGGCCCAGATCTCGCATAAATCCTGATCAACGGCCGTGATAGCATGTTCTAGAGTCTTCTTCAAATCAAGATCAGGAGAGAGAAAATTAAAGCCCGATATATATTCTAGAGAGAGAAAAAAAAGTGTATAGAGAGAGTGTTCCGTTTTAAGTTCTAACCAGGGTTAATTATCTAACCAGGCTTCACGCGGTAAAGTTCTTCGCTGCTCTGAGAGGGAGAGGGAGAGGAACATTCGGAGAAGAGAGAGAGAATATACAGATTTAGAGAGAGACAGTGTTGAGCACATAGACGAAGAACGGAAGTGAAAGTGGGTGTTTCTTTGGCTTGGACAAGAGCTTTTCAGGAACAATCGGTCTGATCCTAGCTGTTGAAGCTTCCGATTCGGACTGTTGGCATTTCTATCTACGAACGTCGGTCGACGGTCGGCTGATTGTCGTTCTCTGTTTGTGATTCTCTCAGATCTCGATGTCTGGTGAGTGAATCGCTTGGATTTCTCGAATTTATTCTCTAATTAGGTTCTTAGTTAGCTGGATGTCATTGTTATTTGGCTCTTCGAATGTCGGTTCTTTGTTGTGGATGCCTTATCTGAATCGATTCGATTGAATTTGAACTTTAATGTGACATAGAACCTTAATTTACCGTATGATTCACAAAAGGATTTAGAAATTCACTTTTTTTTTTTTTTTCATTTCTCTTTTTATTGATGTAAAGGAAAGTTGTTTATAATCTTCATGTTTTTTCGGATTATATACCTAGGTTTAGTTAAACTTCTAAAGTTAAGGCTTGTGAATTAAATCCTAATAATAGGAAAAAATGTGAGTAATGTTCATAAGCGAGGTTTGGTATTTGGTATTTGGTATTTGCTATATTATGCGAATATCTTTATTTATTGAAACCTTTTAATTTCGAGTCATCAAGAAGCTATAGGTAATCACTTGATTAACTATGTTAATTTATGCGTGTTTTTATGTTTTTATTTTTATTTATTTGTATTTTTATATTCTCTCTTGGTGCCATTTCTTTTATGGAATTATTGTCTTGCTTTTTGATCTATGTATGTTTCCGGTGCTTGCTGAGAAAAAGTATCCGAAGAAATGGAAAGAGATTATTATATGTGTGTGTGTGTATATATATATATACACATATATCTTTTAAATATCGTATCAATAAATTGCTAACCTAATCTCGACTGAGACTAATAGGACGATTTGGTATATAATATGTATATGTATATACATACTATATTTTCTTAGCTTCCACGAGTGATCTTTCTATGAGAAAATCATTTTTGATTGGGAGGTCATGTCCAGTCTTGTGCTATTTAAGTCTTTTGATTTAGTGCATAAGTTGTTGACACGGTCTTGCTTCTTTTACAGATTGTTGTCTCCTGCTTAATCTGCTTCAGATGGCCTTTTAGATGTAGTGTGATCAAGCTGCCCTCTCTGTCGGTCATTATCCAGTGCTATGATTTCTTCTGTTTTGAGAACTATGGGGATGATTTAAGTTCCACTTTTCTGATTCATGATTGTTTCGGCTTCATATTCCTTTTTCATTCGAGTGCAACCAGCTTCTGAGTTTGGCGCTATCCTGAGTGAGAGGAAAAAGCTCCCTTTTGCTGCCATCTCTGTTGCTGGCAGCAGAAATTGTTGGTATTACTTTTCCTTTCATGTCTCCTAACTTGGACAGCCCTGTTCAGACCCAGATGGCAGTGTCAGTCTTCAACAACCCTCTTAGTGGGGAGTACCATGGAAGCAAGAGGATGGAAGGGAAACCTGCGGGGAGGAGACGTGTTTTTGTGCAAACAGATAGGGGTTGTGTGTTAGGGATGGAGTTGGATCGGAGTGACAATGCACATACTGTGAAGAGAAGGTTGCAACTAGCCTTTAATGTTCCAACTGAAGAGAGTTCCTTGACATTTGGTGATATGGTGTTAAAGAATGACCTTAGTGCCATTCGAAATGATTCCCCTCTTCTTCTGACACGGAATTTACTTCATAGAAGTTCATCAACTCCATGTCTTTCACCCACTGGGAGGGAAATTCAACAGAGAGATTATAGTGGTCCAATTGAGATATTAGGGTACTCAAATAGCTTTGGCAGAACAAAACAACTTATCAAGGATATTGTTAAGGCGATGAAAACTGGGGTTGATCCAATCCCTGTCCATAGTGGGCTTGGAGGTGCATACTATTTTAGAAACAGCAGGGGTGAGAGTGTTGCAATTGTGAAGCCAACGGATGAAGAACCTTTTGCACCTAACAATCCAAAAGGATTTGTGGGTAAAGCTCTTGGACAACCAGGCTTAAAACGTTCTGTGCGGGTTGGGGAAACAGGTTTCAGAGAAGTTGCGGCTTATCTTCTCGACTATGGTCACTTTGCTAATGTACCGCCCACTGTACTGGTGAAGATTACCCACTCAATCTTCAACGTCAATGATGTAAATGGAAATAAGCTTCAAAACAAGAATCTGGTTAGCAAGATAGCTTCCTTCCAAGAGTTTATCCCTCATGATTTTGATGCCAGTGATCATGGGACTTCAAGCTTTCCCGTTGCTGCTGTTCATAGAATCGGGATATTGGACATTAGGATTTTCAATACAGACAGGCATGCAGGGAACCTTCTGGTTAGGAAGCTTGATGGTGTTGGGAGGTTTGGTCAAGTGGAACTCTTTCCAATTGATCATGGCCTTTGTCTGCCGGAAAGCTTAGAGGATCCATACTTTGAGTGGATCCATTGGCCCCAGGCTTCAATTCCTTTCTCGGAGGATGAGCTTGCGTACATTAATAATCTTGATCCTCAAGCGGACTCAGAGATGCTTCGAAGGGAGCTCCCCATGATTCGAGAGGCTTGCCTCAGGGTCTTGGATTTGTGTACAATTTTCCTCAAGGAAGCTGCTGCTTTTGGTCTTTGTCTTGCTGAGATCGGTGAGATGATGAGCAGGGAATTTCATTGTGGCGAGGAGGAACCTAGTGAGCTCGAGGTTGTCTGTATTGAGGCAAGGAAGCTGTTAGCAGAGAGGGAGGTGTTATCTCCCAAGGCTGAAGCTGGAGACCTGGAGTATCTATTTGATATAGACTTTGAAGAAGCAGAATTTGACTTTTCTCCAAAAATGGCATCAGATGACTTCATGACCAGAGCACCATTCCATTTTGGATTTGGAAGTGGTAATGGTCGTTCTCCACTTTCTAAGCTGGAGGAAAGCATCGAGGAAGAAGAGGAAAGCGAAGGAGAAGACAGATCGGGATTTGTAGGCCTTAAGGCTCCTAGAATGATCCCAACTGTTCCAATGCTATCCATGTCCCTCAAGAATACCAGTTTGGGTGAAAAGAATCAGAAGAAGTTTCAAGGATCTAAAATAGAAAATGGCTATATGACAAATTCATCATCATCTGGGCACCGGAGTGCAAATGAGCAGCTTCCTGCAAGCGTGACTTTCGTGAAGCTAGCAGACATGAATGAGGAGGAATGGGCCATGTTTGTAGAGAAGTTCCGAGGGCTGCTGTCCCCAGCATTCGCCAAGCGGAAGTCCGTGACCCTTGGCCAGAGGCAGAGACAGAGGCTTGGGACTTCATGCCAGTTTTGAGAATTAGTTATTACTATATGTTGGTAGAATAAGACTGCAGGTTTGTGGGAGTGAAGGGTTCTTAGGGGGGTAGGCTTGGTTTGTGGGTTTTCTCCTCGGTAGGTGTAGTTGGAAGTAATTGTAGGATTAAGTTCTGTAAATGTTCTTAAAGGCTCCAGAGTGAAAGGGCTGACTAGAATTGGTTGTATTTTTTCCTTTAAAAGTTTTTTTTTTTTTTTTTTTCCTTCATCACTCCTTATGAACTTGTTTCATAAATAATTTGTAGAATGAAATCTTTAAAAAGAACTTTTATGTAAATATTGGACTCCTTGTTTCTTATCTTTGTGTTGAATTAGTTATTTTCATATTTTGTTGTATTAGCTTTGGGTCTCAGACCATGGTGTTCCATGTCTGTCTTTTCTCTGCGTTTATCTATATAGATGGAACAAAAGGAAGGACGTGGTGATGAAGAAGGTTTAAAATTACATTTGATTAAAGGGGGAGCTAAGGTTTAAAATTACATTTGATTAAAGGGGGAGCTAGGGTATTATTGATGATAGTGACGATATGTGTGTGTGTATGTATGTATGCGCACGGCCATGTAGAGGAGAATCTGGTATTGTAATGTTGTTCATATTTTTGCATGTGGAACTCATCTTCTGGGAAAAAAACTAGGTTTTACTATTCTTTGCTATCAACATTCTTCGCTTATTGCCCCCAGGGGTTTGGTCCAGCGGTGAGGAGAGGACCTTGGTTCTATCATGTCCGGGTTCGATTTCCCAGCGCTCTATTATAGCCCCTGACTAACCTGGTGCTATAACTGTGGGGCTGACTGCAGTATCCTCAGTTTGTTACTTTGGGTTGGGTTCAAAGGGCCCTGCTCAAGGGAGTTTTGGGTATAAAAAAAAAAAAAAAAACATTCTTATCTTATTGTCCGTGTTAATTTGTAGGAAAAGAAAAGGAAATATAGTCTGGAACATTATTTTTTAGCATTCCTTTAATTTCCAGCATTTTCTCTGTAAACGAAGTGGGTTTGATTATTTTGAAGCTTTAGAGATTGTATGAAAGACAAAGGGATGTCACAACTATATTTTCACATTGTGTGATGCACTTCTCTGTTTCAGAACACTTGGCTTTCATCATTACCAATTTGTTATCTAATTACTTTTCTGTTCAGCTGTTTCTGGATTCCTGTTCTATCATTTCATTAGATTTGTCTGGATGTTTCATAGCAATATGTCATGGTAGTTCAAACTTATTATTCAAGAGAAGGATTATAGAGAAACTTGGCCAATGCTGACATCCCAAGCAAAAAAAATAACTAGCAAGCAACAAAGAACCCTCACATGATAGGGTCCCACTGATAACTGGACTTGAACCAAATTCACAATTGGCCCCTCAACTCAATGGTTGATTCAATGCTAAATCTGTCATTGATTTGCTTTCCTTTGCTTCCTTCAGATTTCCAGTAGCTGTCTTGATATTTTTGGAAAGTTTTAAACTGATATATTGTCTTGTTCTTATGCAGTGACCTTCATATTTTTGGAAGGACAGAGTCGAGAAATCATTGTTGCTTTGGAGGCAAGTGGTATGTGTGAGCTTGATTTCCTCTTTCCTTTCCTTGATATATTCTAGAGTCTAGAGATGCAAAAAGCCCTTTACACATTTTGAACAAAGTAGATAATACAAAATAGTTACAATACTAGTTCAAGGACTTAATTAGCTAAAATAACTTCCTCCAGGAGATGATAAATTGTTGGTTGTCTGGTTCTCCCTGCCACATGTTTGGAGAAGATTTTGTGTTTCTTCAGAAAAGTACAATTGGAGCATAGCTATAAGGTTTATGCAAATAATAGTATACACCAAAGCTAACCAACTCTATCACAGGAGGAAACTAGCATTATTCCGCTAGAACAGAGAAAGCCTGAAAAATACCATGCCGTGTAAAATGTTTTAAGTCTAAAAATTTGACAATTCCGTAAAAAGCTTAATTGGGGAGGGTTGTAATGGTCTCTATTTGTGGTGAGTTTAGGTAAAGTCGGAGATAACAAACAAATACATATTTATGTGTATCATCAAAGTTATCCTAAGAAGTGATAATCATATAGTCAGATATGGATTGATGAAGGTCTTTATCAGTAGTCCATTTTTTAGCAGACAAGTTCTCTCCATCTGCGGTGATCATGGAGCTGCTCAATTTTGACTGGAGATAATATATAAAAAAAGAAATTTTAATTAGCAGGATAAGAGTAGTTCTGGTGGGACTAACATGGCAGCCTAATATCTGATTTGTCTAGTTTTGCATTTCCACTTGTCCAGTGGGTTGTGTGGTCATTTTTTTTATGGCTTGAAATTTAAGTTACAATGATAGATAAGCAAGGAATTTTTTAGTAAACGAAAAGGTGGGGGTGAGATTTGTTTAATTGATCCATTAATAATGTCTTGAAGCATAATCATGACCGGATTAGCTGGACTCAATGGGTCAGTAAAAAATAAAAAATAAAAGTTGTCTAAAAAGTTCATTCTGTCTTTGTTTGTCTACCCTATTCTCCTGTTTTGAACTATTGTATTAAGAAACTCATTTGTTCTCACTTTGGCAGACTGCTTTTGGTGGTAATATTATGTTAAGGATCCTACTTCCTAGTTAATGAGATAATAAAGAGAAAATCTTTAATATATAATTGGTTGCTGTAAATGAATCTCAGCATGAAAGTGAGAGAATAAACACACAGCAAAATGCAATACACAGAAAATATAATGTAGCATAGCGAAAATTAAAAGTCAACATCTGTATGGTAAGTGACCAATGTCAGGTTTTTGTCACTCAACCCCCTAGCAAACCTATTTTCTCCACCTTTGCAGGCATGAACCATTGGACAAAATGTTTAGGGGATTTTAAGTCTAAATTTAAGTTATTAAGTCATTTTTTCATGGTCTCTAGTCAATACAGAACGTAAAAGGGTAGACTGGATACAGAACTTAACCTTTGGGTCCTGACATTTAATGTTTGTAAATATGTTACTTAGGATTTGGAAAAGAAAAATAAAAGCTCACCTCATGAATACGGAATGGTTGTATTAGGCTTATTGGAGAGGTTTGCTTTCTCATGTCCAAATCAATATAAGGGGAGTTAAAACAGCATAGAGTTCTATTCTTTCCCCACATGTTTTCTATAACTAAGCAGGCAATGGCATAGGAATTAAGGGAGAGAATATCTTTTCTTGATATCAATGCCCTGTGAATTATAACTTCAATATTTGATTTGAATTTGGTCTCTTTGTATTAAACCTCTACATATCAAAAAATTTGCATAGGGCTATGGTGGTGTGACAGTGTGGTTGTGGGCTTCTTGTTTTACATTTCTTCATAGTGGTGGGGTTGGGGAGTATAATTTGTTGGAATAGTTCAATCTCCTTTAGATTGAGAGATTCACAATTGGTACTGGAATTGCCGGATTACATTATGCCAAAATTACGGGATCAGATCAATTTCATTCTTACTCATGTAATGCATGTCATCTAGATCAGTTAACATTAACTGTTTTTTAATATATTTTTTTTACTTTTTAAATTCATTGTAGTGCTTCACAAATTAGAAAATTTCAAGTCAAATGGTATTTTATAAATTGGCTATATTGGAGATTGGACTTTAGTTTGCTGCGGAAATAATGTTTCTGCAGCATTGTATACAAATCCAAGTTGAAATGGCATAGATACGATCAAAGTACTTGCTAACATCCAAATATTTCCTCCACATATTTTTTATCTACTTGTGTTCTCTCAAGATCTAGCACCTACAAGTCTTAGTAACGGTTACAACTTAGAAAAATGCAGTGCAGAAGTGACCAGTTTGTTTTGAGTGCCCTCAAAGGAGCAGCAGTACATTGAAATCTTAATTTAGGCAGTATTTAAAGCAAGCTTAATGTTTGAAAATTGATAAGCTCATTAGGGTTCCTCTCCTTAGCTAATTAGTCCAACTTCTTGACATGTAAAACTTTTTGTTAATCGAGGACACTGCATCAAATCTTCTAAGAAAATCGACTCTTTAAATTTATCAACTTTTAATTCTCCACAGCATGGTTTCTGTGCCACCCATGTTAAAAAAATTTCCATTGTCAAAAGCAGACTATTGAAAGAAACCTTCTCTTTTCGTAATGTTATCTGCAGCTATTTGTCAACAATTCTGTGCCAGGGGACTAGCCTCTGTTTTGGGACAATGCAGGTGATTTTCTGAATGGGTTTTGCTAAGAGTCTCTTTGGGCTTGAATCGCTTGATGAACACATTTTTATGAACCTCTCCCTTTTGTCATGGAATTTAGGGATTTAATTATCTGAATTCGAACATAACAAGAACAATTAAATGTGTGAGAATATTGGCATTCAAAAATCAAATTATGTTCGGACCAGAAAGCTGTTGCTCTGTGGAGGAGTCAAGGCCACTCGGGTCCTTCCTGTGAACACTTAACTATTAACCATGCTTGTCAAGCTTATAAGAGGAGTCAACTTCTGTAGGTGTCTATAAGTAAGAGTTCAAATTCAACACAAGGATAGGTTTGCAGATGAAGTCTCGGGGAATGCCACGTTGTCTTGGTTTGTAGGCTTGGCTTGCTCAAATTGAAAATAAATGCTTTAGTTCAATAATCAACTTATGAATTTGACTGCTTGATGATGTGGATACAAGCAAATTAAGTAGTGTGCTTCAGGTGGAACTTTGAAAAATTAGAACATCCTTTTCATTCATAAACTTTTCCGAAATCAAAACATGAGTTTGATTCTAGAAATTTAGTTTCTTTTAATGAGAATTTTTCTATTTAATGGTCATCCATGTAGAAAGTGGTGCTAGTTACTTGACATCCACTGGATGGCATCTGCAAAATCCTCTTGTGGTGAATGTTCTTTAAAAAATTTAAATGCTCATTTTCAGAGTATTGGGTAGACACTGCTATGTTAAATGCAAAGATGAGAAAGACACTGGCTAGAAACTGAAATTTTCTAATCAATGAAAATTCCAGTCAAACAAATGTGTGTGTGTGTGTGTGTGTGTGTGTGAGAGAGAGAGAGAGAGAGAGAGAGATTCCAATATACCTCCTTAAATAGGAATACAATACAAATCCGTTAAAAAATAAATTGATGAAGAGCCGAACAATCCATTTTTTATCACATACATAATACATACTGAAGCAGAATTTAAATGAAAATGTCAGCACAATTTGAAAGCAGTTGCTTCAACAATTTCAGAAAAAAATTTAATAAGTTAATATAAAGTTTAGGTTAGACATGTCTCCAAGGTCTTTCTGCTAGATTTACGCATTCATTAAACCGAAAACAATCTACAAGATGATCGATTGTCATTCCTGCAGCTTGCATGAATGAATTGACAATCACCGGCCCCACGAACCTGAATCCACGCCTCAATAAATCCTTGCTGATAGCCTCTGCTCTTGGAGTCCTTAGAGGAACATTTTTTGGGTATTTGTATCTGTTGATTGCCGGTTTGTAATTCACATATCCCCATATATAGTTACTGAAAGATCCAAATTCCTTCATAACCTACATTTATGTCAAAAATAAAAGTACAATGACCAATTTAATCTATGTTGGTGAAAATTCATTGTAAAACACTGCAAAGACTAATTAATTACTCAAAACTTGCCTTCACTATGCATTTTGCATTGTCTACTATGCACCTAACTCTGCTCTCTGCTAACATTATCACTTTGTTGGAGGCTATTTCCGTGATCTCTTTCTCCCCCATTTTGGCGACAACGTTGAGATCAAATTCAGCAAAAGCTTCTCTGTGTTACTCATTTGTTGTAATAACATAGCATTCATAAGGAAATAGTATTACTCAGAATATTAGAAGTCTTCATTGAAGTTGAGGGTTGAAAGAAAAAGAAAACTATACCTCAATGGTTCTCTTCTTTTTAGAATCTCGGTCCAATTGAAATCCATCAACATACCAGACATGGCAAGCAACTCAAACAATTGGCTGTTTGATGATTTGCGAGTTAAAGTTCATATCTCACGCTGTAATTAATCGATGAACTTGAATTGAAAGCCACAAATGACTTACTTGTCATCATAGGTTGGAACTCCCCAGCACTCATCATGGAATTGTACATAAACTTTATCTGCAAAAATTTCTAAATCAATCTCTATTTTCTCATTGAATTAAATTTTTCCTTACAAACATGCATATATTATGAATATGTCTCTATGTGAAGTGACATGAGTTTCCGTTCTTAGTTCTAGATTTACTCTGATATGCTGAACCACTGGTATTACAGTGCCATTATTATGAAACTCGGCATTCTTAATAAAACATGCTGTTGGACTCCTAACCACTAAGCAGTAGGAGAATCTTGGTTAGGTTACTATTTTCTTTTCTTCCTTTCTGTATATTTTTCTCACTTGCCAAGCAGGGAATAGATTTCACAACAGATATTTGAAGTAGGTGAGGCACTTGGAACAGTTGGTCATAAGTCACAAGCTCAAACTAGAAAAATATGAGCACTATAAGTTGAGTATAGTATGATATTGCAGACATCAATGTGACATGTTAAATTTTGTACTAGTCTTTTAACATGCTAGAAATACTGAATTGTTTCAAAGGCTTTTGAGTTCTATAGCTTACCACTATTCTTTGTAATCCAGTTGCACCTCTTCAAGTCTTCACCACTCGAACATGTATTGTGCTGTTCAACATCCTTAGCCACCGCGACTTCTCTTCTCTCAGGTGGAGCAATCCGGAGCAGTGCCAATGTGATCTTCTGAGTCAGCGGAGAAGAAGAATCCGTGAGAGAAGAATCATTTGAGTTCTGTGACAAAGACAGCGATAACGAAGACAGGGACAGAGGTGAGCTGCTTTTCAAGAGCCTAGTTGGGTAAACTTTCTTCAGGTGATTGGAGAAAAAGTTGTGGTAAGGCTTCTCTTTTTCTCTAGGACTTGTGTTCTTCTGCAGAGCACGTCTTCTGACATTTTCTTTAGACATGCTTGAGAGGAAAAGAGAATCCTTTGCCTTAAATTAGGTAGGTGTAAAGAGGAATTTATAAAGGTTGGTTTTTTCAAATGATGGGATGTCAAAAGAAGGAATGACATGAAATTTGGTTGGTGGAATGTGAATTTTATTATATAGAACACCACTTGCTCCTTAGTTTTTAAGCAAAAATGGATAGAGAAGTAGATTGGATTTGAAACTATTTCTTGAAAAGGATACTTTGGAATTTCTAGATGTTTGAATCAGACTTCCCCAATACCAAAATTCCCAATTGAAGAAAATAATCATCACATAAGCTTAGATTACACAAAGATTAGAACTAGGTTGTTTGTTAATGTGTTGCATGACAATGTTTAATGGACTTGTAGTGGTTAGGTGGGGATTTGATATTTACAAATGTGGTCAGGTGTTTTTTTTTTTTTTTTTTTTTTTTTTTATTAATTAATTTATTTTTAAAAAGAAGAGGAATCTGACTAGACAAATAGAACAAATGAGTTATTTAAATGAAATTAGATTATGTAGATTTAGGCAAATATTCTCCTCTCTCTTTACATAGATTAATTTTGGATGACGTCTAGCATGACCCCATTGTATTTGTCATTCTACTTCTGAACAAATTAGATTATGCAGATTAGGGCAAATGTTGGTGAGGTGCTCATATCTCCTCTCTCTTTTTATATAGATTAATTTTGAATGATTCCTAAGCATGACACCATAATATTTGTTATACTACTTTTGAATTTATTATCATCCATTTGAGCAAATAATAATTATTTGATTTTCATCGTCATTTGATTGGTGTAATGGTTTAATTTTAATATTTGTCCCGACAATGTTCATCTAATTATGAAAGCAGTCTCTTTGTGTAAAAATAATGTCAATAATTAAGCTCGCCAACATTATCGGTAATTATATATTTAAGATATTAGTAAAATATTTATTGTTCCTCTAAATTTTTAGAAATAATGATTGAGCCCTGTTACTTTAATATTGGTTTTTGCTAGGTTATGTTATTATGGTTAGGGGTGAAGAGAATTGGTCACTCTTTAGCTTGTGATGTTAAGGGAATACTCTTAAGATTCCCATTTTTTTAGTTGCATTGTTTGCCTCAATGGGTCCAATTTCATACTTGTGTCCTACTCCTGTGCTCTAAAGTACTGAAACAAACCCCCTGCCAGCACAGAAAGAGATACCCTATCCATATATATATATATATAATTCTTCATTGTCTTTATAATTTATTACCATTTGCATGGGCTGCTACAATTTGAATTCATTGACTGCAAATGTGAAAGTGTTGAAGACAAATATAAGCTGAGGATGGGGCAATGGTACCTAAAATTAGGTCCAATGTAAATGTAGCATAGTAAATTACTACATTCTCTATTCATTATTTTGGGCTTTTTTTTTTAAAAAAAAAAAAAAAATTATTTTTTATTATGTTTTTTCTGGCAAACAAAAACACAAGGGAGACACACTTATTTGGAATTGAAATGAGGCTAATTGAGGTGTGTAGAGGCCTGTTTGAGCTTGACTCGATTATTTGTGTTTGGCTAGAATTCGGGTTGAGTTCATCATAACTTATTCGTTTTTTCGTAGTTGACTTGACTTGTTTAATAAACGAGATTGAAAGTGCTGCTTTAATCTTATTCATAAAAATTTAAAAAGGGTGTCAATCAATTCTAAGTTGAACAAGCTCAAACTTGTCTAAGTTATTAATCATCATTAACTAAAGATTTGACAGTCGAAAGGAAGTACCAAAAAAAAACACAACATAGTAGCTAGGACTAAGGAGTTTTTTTATAACATTTATTCACTGCTGGAAACAAAATTTATGTTACATATTTAGTTGCAATTCTTAAAATTTTCATTTTTAATATCTCAAATTCACTTCTCACTTAAGGGGAACATCATTTTGAAATTAAATTAGACTTGACAATTTATTCTCAAATATTATTTTATTACATTTAAAATATCCATTGCTACTAAATCGACAATAATGAGTTTTCATTTTTTCTAACCCTTCTTACGTAGTTAAAAAAAAATTTCATTTTTTCTTTTTCGGTAAAAAGTACATTTATTGAAAAGAACTGTACAAAAAAGGGCAAAAGCTCAACAGAAAAACAGGCAAAATGAGTTTTCAATTTTAGCAAACAGCCCTTAACATTTTCACCAAGTCTGGAAACATCTTCCTCATTTTTGGTAGTTTCCTTTATTTTTATTTTTTTGTTATTATCATTATTATTGTTTTTAGGGTAAAATGCAAAACAGCCCTGAACTATTGGCCAATCAACAACAAACCCCTTGAACTACAAAAATTGCAAAAAACTCCCTAAATTATACAATTTTATTACAAATGGCCCCATCCGACGATCGGCCGGTAATATCTCACCGATAAATTGATCATGCACAGTCCCGTGACATACAAAATATAACTAAAGGACTATAATACCCATAAGACCATAAAAGACTTTATTGCCCATAATTATAACCATAACACCAAACCCCTCTTTAAATAACTTGCACCCAAACATACCCTTATACTTTTTTGTCTATATACACTCACATATACACACACTGTTCATCTTCTTCACAAGGCCTGCTTTTCTGAATTTTTTTTAAAAAAATTGCCAACCCCTCTCTATTTGGGTATGTTGTGCATGAATCAAAAATGGGAAAATCCTCTTGAAATTGATAAATTGATTATGCACAGTCCCGTGACATACAAAATATAACTAAAGGACTATAATATCTGTTAGCCCCTTGACGGTTGTCCAAGGGAAGACATGGGCATTTCAAGGACATGCCATGTCTTGGGAATACTTTGGCTTTAGTTAGACAGTCATGAGAATGTTTAGCGTGCACACAAGATGCTTAAAAGGATGCTCGGCGTGCATTGGGGGTGCTCAGTGGCATTTTCGTAAATATGACGAAAAGGTAAACTTTGGAGTTTTGGCTCGGGATCTTTATGGGAGGTACCTTGAGTCCATAGAAGCTGGTTGGCGCAGACGACACTTGATTTGGATGTCGAGAAGGGTCTGAAAGGCCTTTATGACTTCTCAAGCATGGGTGATGTTTACTCCTGTCAGAGTGCTGATTTTCCTTAAGACTATACTAGGGGGGGTCTGTTGAGCACATCAGTTGGGCTATGGCATGACTTGCTTAGAGGGCTTAACCAACATGCATGGGCACGTGTTGCACTACTCCAAGATGGTTGCACAAGAGGGGAGTATCTAAACTAATGATGGGCAAACAAGTGTGCACCCGCGCGCACAGGCGTTCAGCCCTGCGTACGCGCGAGCGTGTAGCCATGGGTACACGAGGGTTCGAGTACGGCGCACATGGATGGGCACCAGTGTACGCACCGGCGTGCAGCAGCGCGCTTATGGGCGTGCACACGGGCATGCATGGCTTGGCATCAACGTGCGCACCGACGTGCACTCAGGTGTGCACTCAGAGACATGTAGGTTCAGAATGGTGGACTTGGCAAGGGCTAGGTTCACAAGGTTGGCTCAAATGTTACTAAAACATGGACCACACAAGTCATGGCTTGCGGTTACAAGAGATGGCTAAGTGGGCTAAGTGAGCTCAGTTGGTTGGGGGAAGTTACTAACATTTCCCCACTCATTATGGGAAGTGGGGGTGTGCTGATTAACTTCCCATGCAGGTGGCACAAATCTGAGATGACAACTAGCAAGCGGTTGGAGGTGGTTTCTTCCACTATGCAGAGTGCAACTTCTTGTGGGATATGTGGCATGAGCAGAACATGCCAACAACAGTCTAGCAATTGGATTTGTCAACTGCATTGTAGTGCTGGCATACTTAGAGGGTGCCAGCACGACCCTAGGTGGATAGGGGTGTCATCCATCATCTTAGTGGGCAGTTATGGGCGGTTTTGAGAGTGGCCTATATAATGCTAAGGCAGGCTTTGTAGAGGGAACAATAGGAGGGTGTGAGCCTTGGTTCCTTGTACGAACTCATGTTCCTTTGTAATATGTTTAATATGAGCAAAGGTTGGGGATTGTCCCTGTAAATTGTGTGTGCCTTCTTTACATTTCAGTATTGTGTGTATTGTGTTGTGTGTTGGTTGAGATTTGGTGGCTCCAAGTGCCATTACAGAGGCAAAAATTTGTGGTGTGATTTAGCCCTGTAACAATTGGTATCAGAGCCCCGTTCTACGATGTCTGGAGGCAATACTAGTGAGAGAGTTTCCCATTTGGAAGAGTTTGTGGGTTTTCCTACAGAAACAGAGGTACAAGATGGGGCAGAGAGCCTTATTGTTCAAATCGAAAACTTGGCTTCTGAAGTGGAGATCTTGAAGACTGATCCTGATGGGTTTGGTGACTTCATGCAGGGCACTAAAGAGCAATTGACCCGTATCTCTGAAGATGTTGAGTCATTGACTGACGTCTTCAAGAAGAACCTGAAAGACCTTGAAGATGAAGTGTCCTTGGTGAAAAGGGCCATTCATGGGAGTTCCAGAGGCGGTGGTGATCCTCTTTCACAGAAGATCAAGGTGCCGGATCCCAAGTCTTTCAGTGGTACCCGAAATGCCAAAGAGTTGGAGAATTTCCTATGGGACATGGAGCAGTATTTCAAGGCTGCTCGGATCCCCGATAGCCAGAAGGTGACCATTACAAGCATGTATTTGTCTGGTGATGCAAAACTATGGTGGCGCACACGAACAGAGGACGATGCTTCTGCGGGTAGGCCTCAATTTGAAGTTTGGGAGACCCTTAAGAAGGAATTGAAGAACCAGTTCTTGCCTCAGAACACTGCATGGATTGCAAGGGAATCTCTGAAGAAATTGAAGCACACAGGCACCATTCGTGACTATGTGAAGGACTTTAGTTCCTTGATGCTGGACATTCGAAATATGTCAGAGGAGGACAAGCTGTTCAATTTCATGTCCGGATTGCAACCATGGGCTCAGGCAGAACTCCGTAGGCAAGGTGTGAGGGACCTTCATACTGCCATGACAGCGGCAGATTGTCTTATAGATTTCAAGATAACTGGGTCTAGTACACAAGACAAGAAGAAGTCCAAGGAGGGGAAGAAAGACAAAGGCCAGTCCTTCAGGT